ATCTTACAAAACAGGCCAGTATCTTACAAAACAGGCCAATATCTCACAAAACAGGCCAGTATCTTACAAAACAGGCTAAGTCTTACCTGAATTTTGACTGGTTTTGAGGGATGTTTGAGCTAGTGGTGATAATTCTGATTTTGGTGTATGTGTTATTGCTACAGCTGCTGCTGCTTGCTGTTGGGCCTCCCGTACCTTCCTTGCCGCATCCTCTTGAGACAATCTGTCAGCTTCAGCTTCATTTGGTAATGAAACAAATGTTAATAACCTGTTACTTTTGTCAGTTTCTAAGCTTCACTTAATGCAGAACAGTCACCATATTTTTAGACATGCAAGCGGGCTAAACGAGATAATTAAGCAACACCCGTTTCAGACAGGCATTCTAGAGTGGTGCCGAACCAATAAGAATTAAGAGCGACTCGGGTCAACCCAATTAAAAATTTTCTTTTTAGTTGTTTCGGCGCGACTCTAGAATGCTTGTCTGAAATGGGTGTAAGTCTGAGACCCTTGAATTACCAGGAGTAGACTATAGTTAATATTGCACGCCCCAATTTCTACCATACCTCAGGGAAACTACATGCAAATCTCTCCCAGCCAGTATAGAGCCTCTCCACTATCAAGATCCTACAGTACATGTACCTCCTCGTGGCAACACACACTAACTAGGTATCTTACTGTGAGGGATCTCACAGCAGCAGGCCCACCAGCATGTATGCCCTGGAACCATGTCAACCACTACCCCACCTACAATTGTACATGTATGGATTAAACACGTCTGGGCATACAGGAATGTATTGTCCCTAAAGCTGATGGGACTCATAAACCTTGGCCGGTAGCTCATCTAAATGAAAGAAAACATTGATTTTAAACCACCATAGCCTAGTGGCAAAAATCAATGCCATAAGTGTGATAAGCTAGCTTTGGGAGTAAACCCTGAGCAAATACTTGGAGCCAGAGGCCCGAAGACAGGTCACGGCTGTATACAATAATGAGCTGGCAACTCCTGCGGCAGTGTTGGAACCAATCATATCAGCTTTTGCCCTTCCATAGATAATCTCAGCAACATGCAGAGCAGGACCGGCTGCATGGGTTACAGCCAGTTCTCCAAATGTATTTACCCAGGCTTCTGTGACTGGAGAGGACATTCCAGCTTTGGTTTGCAGCATCAACACAACACGGAAAGCAGCAGCAGTCTACTGCTTTTAAGTCTATTGCTTAATTGGCATAGAGCCAGATGCCAGGGACTGGTTCTGACAGTGGGAGAGGTGACTGCACCTCATCTACAGTCTGCCTCATGCTGGGCAGCCCGTAGCAAATAAGGTGCTGCCCTACCAGTGTTCATGAACTTCAATGGGTGAATGGGGTTAAGGTGAAAACCAAAACGTGAATCCACATCCTCACACCAGTCTTACACAGAAAAAAAATATCCATACCTCAAAACTGGGCATGTGGAACATCAGGACATTTGAGTCCAGGTTTCTCCGACAATGTACAAGACTTGAGCAGCCCTCACAACACCATAGCCTTTAGTCAATGTGTATTTGACACCCTGGATGCTTGTCTGGTAACACCAACAAGCTAAGTGCGAGTGGCAAAGCCACAAGCGTCTTTAATATCTCATGGAGCTAATCAATATTGATTTATCCAAGGCACAAGTGCTATAGCAGTGGGGCAGTTTAATACAAAAATTTCAAATGAGCCACTTCCTGTGCTCTATTTCAGTGCCCATCACATGTACGCACAACTGCTCGATGATAATTGGCTTTTATCATTCCACAAGTGCGAAAGTGTTGACCAATCCAATCATAATCCAATGAAAGATATCAATGTTCCCCTGCACCTTACTTGTGAAAGTGTGTCAATGTCAAATACATGTAATTTCAGCAGATATATCCACAATATGCAAAGCATTATGCATAAATAGGTCGAGAAATTAAAAGAAAAACAAATGCCTTCTCTATGAGATAGTAAAGGCGCTCGTTGCTTCGCCACTCACACTGTTCTTTTCATGTTACCACTGTCCTATCATCTGGGATGCCACCGTTTCATGTTACCACTGTACTTGCATCCAGGGTGCCACACATGCTTGACTAAAGGCTAACAAGACAATTGTCACCGACTTAAAACTGAGCAGGCTACAGATGGATGTTGTTGCCCTCCAAGAGACCAGACTCCCAGGTTTTGAATCTGTGTGGGAGAGAAACTTCTCCTTCTGGCTGGGAAAACCACCAGGTGAGATCAAGGAACATGGAGTGGGTTTTGTGGCTGAAAACGGCCAGCTTGAAGCTGTCATTCCACCCATCAAAGGAAACAACAGAATCCAGTCCATCCAGATCCACTTAGTGGGGCTTAGTTAACCTGATCAGTCCCTACTCACTAAAACTGACTTCCTTCAGCTGACATTAAGGACAACTTCTACGATGACTTCAGCACTACCATCAAAAGCTCCCAGTCAGAGGGCCACTGCTCATCCCAAGTGATTTAAATGCCAAAGTGAGTGCTGATTACAACTCCTAGCCTATCTTCTTAGATCAGTGCCAAGTTGACTTGGCAAACGATAGGATCTTGGCTATCCAGATCCACGCCTTAAAGTGGACACCTGGGAAACTGTGGACCTTGATCAATTGGCTTAAAGACAGTGCAAAAATGTCTCTCTGAGTATGAACAGGTGCTTGCCCAGCAGTCTGAGAAGAACAGAATGAGAAGGAAGGTCCAGGACTATACAGACAGATCAGCATCAACCTTTCCTTCCACTCAGTGCAGGATGAACTATCACTCTCAATGCTGCACACGAACCTCTACTCAGAGTGCAATACCATAGTCTCTCATATGCCTTACACATAGTGCCAGTCAGTTGCTAGTACTTGCAAATTTGACTGGTTATAGTGCCCCTCACATAATGAGAACAATAAACAGCAAATGTAAACCTGAATCTAGACAAACTAAAAATGATTGATCAATAAACTGCTCGTTAAATTGCTTATGACTGAATTAAAATGATTCAGATATAAAACCATTAAAAAGCTTCCTGTTTTACATTTTAGACAGACATGTTATAGAACACATATGGAGTAGCATAATTGGTCGTATGTACATGTCTACTCAATCTTGAAGGACTGTGACAGGAAGACGGTCATATTTTCTTTGGCCTTTGGCCTGGGTCCTGTGAGTACTGAATTACATGTATGCCTGTCCATAGGTGTTAACTATTCTTTAGTATGTGTTGATTCAGAAACATGCTTACATGTACACCTCCAATCAAAAATAGAAGCTCTCAGAACATACCAGACAGCTACTTGTTTTTATAACTAGCAGCTGGTCAAGGATGAAATGTCTTACAAACATAGATTACAGTGGCTCAACTGTCACACCCTTCACCCATGGAGTCTTTGCTCCATGTGCCGTACTATATACGTTCTTTCATTTGCTCAGCTTCAGTTGTGAATACTGAAAGATGCACCAGATCATCCAGTTTGGCCCACCAGCTTAATTAATCCCTTCGCACCGGGAAGCGGTAAGATCCGCCGTAAAAATTGAGATCCTCAGCTTGCTTTTCAGCTATTATTCTCGGCCCACGTTCGAGCGAACACGGTGAAAGAAGGCATACCCTGGCTCTTGTATATATGGTGATTGGCCTTTGTATGTTGCCAAGAAATGAAAAGGCCGAATTTGCATCATTATCAACAGCTTCACAATAGTCCCCACTGTGAAAAGAGGCAACGGGAATGTGGAAGCGTGAATAGAGCCGCATGCCACCGAACAGTCAGCCTTTTCACTGTGTAATTCAAAGCGTGCAGAGCATGCAGGGCCACAAACCGAGAATTTGCGATTTGGCCGGTGGCCTTCGTAGCCAAGCGAGGCTGGAATTCTTGGAGTCAGCTTTCAGAAAAAAGTCCCGGCGTCAAGGGGTTAACAGCTCTTGGGTGGCCAAGTCACAGAACAATAGAACGCCCAGCGGTGTTATTGCCACTATTCTTAAGATCTTAAGAGGATTAGTGAGTATTTTAACTAAGTCAGCCCTCTTGGAGTGTACTGCACTATACAAGGGAAGTATGTACGTGTGTATGGAGCCTGGACGGTGTGAACTTTCTTGTATCCAGGTTCCAGAGCACCTTTTTAACGCAGTGGGCATTATCAAATCACGACAGGCATTATCAAATGTTAATACACTGTCATGTGATGAGTTATCAACCAATAGGAATAGTGGAATTGTCCCAGGTGTTTATGAATGCATTATGATGTAAAAAAGCCTTCAAAAACTCACCAATTATTCTGGAAGCACGTTCTTGATGAATCATAAGTGATTCAATAATTTTATGCATGTTTTCCACCAAATCCATTGATGCTCCCTTCAGCTTTGCATCAGCTAACAGCCGATCTAAAATGAAATTGGGTAAACATGACTTAATGAATTTCATACTGTTATAAGGTGAATCAGGATCACACCCACCTTTCTTGGTCCTACTCTGGAGCAGGATACAGATCCCCTAATTGGTGGATCAGATCCTGCAACTGGCGGATCAGGATCAGATGGGAACGCAAAAGGTGGATCTGATCCCGCAATTTGACCTGTCAACATCCGCCCGTACAAGGATGGCACAAACCTTTTGTGGTCTTGTGAACAAAGAAAAACATTTTTTGGCGTGTGGCTCATATGAAAATTTTTCATGTGCACAGCATGCACCATAAATAACAGCTGAACTACGGGCCAGCAAAATGTGTCACCACGCATGCGCAATGCATGAATTGCCGCAATGTGCTCTTTCAAAATTTTCATTACTCTTTCGTCCGTTTCTTAACCTTTTTTATTCGTGTAATTTTACTTGATTTCCATCAGCTTCTCGCCTTTGTTGGTATCTACATGTCCACCGAAGCTGTATCAGCACCATGGGCAAAATCAGACCAAGAAACATTTGGATTTCTTCCTCCATGTCGAAAGCTTGGAACATCCAAACACCACAATGGTCACACTCATGCAATTTCACCCATCCCAGCATGCAACACTGCCACAGAGCGCCCACTCAGCAAGCTAGCAAATGCGTTATACCTAACTCAGTGACATTTCGGGCTTGACATTTCTGTGCAGGAAGGTGGATCAAGCTTAAGTGGGAACGTGACTTGCGGTTTTGTTGCCGTAATATAATGATCACACCAAAATGCTGGATCGTGATCCACCTTTTCCCAATTCAAGTGGGAACGTGGTCTTGGGCAAACCTGTTGTAAATATGTGCTCCCTCAATCAATACTGTCAACAAAAGCTACCTTCAGTTTATTCCGTCTTCCCTGTCAGTTGTACCACCCATAATAAAGCAATTTTTTTTTCAACTTGCACATCAAAATTCTTTCAGCAAATAGAAATAAAAAGGCAAAGGTTTCGTAAAAACTAGTAGCAGTCAGTTTAAGTATTGTACATGTAGGTATCATTTAAAAGCTAACCAACTGGTGGTTTGGATCAACATTCTGTTCATGCAAAACTAGTTTAATACTAGGATACCAATTACACATATTTGGCTAAAAAAAAATACCATAAACATAACAATAAATAGCTGTTAATGTGACCTACCAGCCTGCTGTGACAACTGATCAACATTCTCCTTGATTTTTACTGCATCAGGATGAAGAAAATCTTTTTGTTTGTCCTTTTCCAACTGAAGACAAATTTTCTTGGAAGATTCTTTGATTTGCTTGTGGACATTCATCATGCTATCAAGGTAGGCCTGTCTTTCAGCAACTCTAAAATACAGAGAGTCAGAAATAACAGTTCTTTACGGTACGCTTTCCCACATACACTGTACATGCATCAGTAAATATTAGTCCCTCATGCACTTTTGCACTGAACCTCCATCATCAATCAACCAAATTGTTACATAACATTCTTTGTGGGTGACTTTTGTGGTGACAGGCTTCCGTCGTCGGGGCTAAGAGAATTTTAAAGAGCACGTTATGCAAGTATGGTCAAAATAAATGTCTGTAGAATTTTACATTGAAATTGCTATAATACTGTCTGTTTGTTGGAATTGAACTGCTTCTATTTCCTCAAAAAAAATGCAATAAATCCACTTCAGACTTCACTACCACCTCAAGTTAGCAAGACGCACTGATAAGTCATATGGGGATTTATTCCTGAAGTGATAAACATGCATTATGATTATGACACCATAGTGCTAAATTAGGCTGTGAGAATTTACCAGGGAAGATGAAAAATTGAATTAGGAGAGTAACACGCTGGGCATTCTAAAATTTCTGCGTTGAAAGCAGCAGGCAACAATCGCAACAGCCAAGCTACCAAATCCAGGTTCCATGCTTGAATTAGACAAACCCCATCCACACCCATGAAGAGCAACATACATGAAAGAATCATGAACAAGCTGCTTATTTCTGGCTTAATGTCTTCATTGTACAGTACATTTGAACATATCTATATGAAATTTGCGCTTTATCAATGAATAAATTATTATTATGATAATGATCTGTCTATACTACTATCTCCCCTGAATACATCGAATAGTCTCTGTAGAAGAACAATGATGTTGCATGATGTTGAGGCTACATTCACTGCCTCACTTGAAGAGTGTTTCTCTTCACATGGACGCTGACATCTGACCGGTACATCCTCCAGCACAAAGTGGCTAACTCATGAATTCTATACTAAACAGCAAAAGAAACTTGCCACTTCTGTACCACACATAAAAATTCACTTCATAGAAATAAACAATTTCTGTACCTTTATAACAAAGAAGAAATTGACATGCACAGCAACTTGGTTACTGAATCAAAAGTCACAGAATATAACAGAATGAGCCTTAACTTTTACGCAGAAATCAATGTCACAGGAAAAAATAAAGAAGTCGCAATCATTACTTTTAAATAATGTGTATGCATAGTCAGTAAGGACGGCATCCCTATACAAAAACCATTCATGCACATCATTTTGACAAAACAGGTGTTCACTTTGTCATCAGTTGTTTAAAATGTTGTCAATTCATGGGTCATTTTTGCTTAGTGGACAGTGCTTTTATGTGTAACTTTTGATTCAGTAACCAAGGCAAGTTTCTTTTGCTGTCCAGTGTATTAGAACCATATTACCACCACATTCTGTGTAAAACCTGTTAGTTTTGTGGCATTTATTATGTATACTGTGAATTATTTAAGTAATACCAGCTTTAATTTGTTTATGCAATATACCGGTACATGTATATACATGTATCTTGGTCACAGTTGCCTTAATTGGCTTTTTTGCAATTTTGCGAAAAAGGCATTCTTTTTGTTCTGTTTTTTTCCTTCTTCTTCTTCTGACCAAAAGCCGCTTTGTTTTTGTACACCTTTTTGTTGCCGCCACTTTAGTGCTTTTGCAACTTTGGATCTTCATCAAACTTATACCAATGAAGGACCCTTACGCATAGATGGTCCTTGAAACATAACGTCATGATGATGTCATCAAGTGATTTATTATTGATTTTTCAATATTTATTTCAGCCCATTGACTTTGTACACGTTTTGGAGGCACCATTTTGGTACCTTAGTCATCATTGATCGTCGTCAAAGTTACAGCAAGCATAAAATAAGTATAAAACAAAGATAATACTAAAATATTTACGCCATGATGACGTCATCACATAATTTATTATCAAATTTTGAATATTTAAATATTCCATTAAATTGATAAAAATCCATATAAAATCAACCGTGGCCTCCCGCAACATCCCGCAACAGAGGATTTTTGACCGGATGTGATGATGACATCATCGGGAGATAAGTCACATGACATTAAAGGTGCACTAGTTAAAGCCCAATATCTCCTGAAGTACATGTTGTATCAGGTTGAAACTTTGCAGATAACTTAAAAGAGGGGTGTTATACACGAAAAATGACTTGATGTGAGGATGGCCTAGTTATTCAAAGGTAAAAAGAATGCGAAAAAGCCCTCTGTTCTGTTGGCAAAAAGACAGATAAGCTCTCGTTTTCCATGCTCCTGTCTTTATTTATATAAAGCAGCTTGGGGATCCATATTTAAAACAAGTTTGGATACCCTCCACTTCCTACTATATGCAGACACTGTCATGACTTATTGCTTTTGTGTTGTAGTCATACACAGAGTGGAATTGTAAAAAGAGTCATTAACATCATTTTCAGCTTCCATTTTCAAATCATACACAGTTCAATGTTTACATCGTTTGACAAACCTTCGCTTGTGTTCAGCTTCTTCTTCCGCTTCAACTTTTTTCTGAATTGCTGTCTTCAATTTGACTTCCATTCTCTGGAATAGAAAATGATACAATTAAGCTATTAAATCACTATTTCAATTCCAAAGAGGCTGGACAGAAAAGTCCCTTAATTCATCAAAACTTAGTTCTAAACAGAACAGTTTATCTGTAGCAATATTCATCCTTCAGATGTACAAATGCCAAGTCCCACTTGACAGCTATCAGTAATTGTTAACTGCATTCTGGCATGGCCACTGGCACTTGACATTGCACTGGTGCATACAAATTTATCATGCAAAAATCTTCTTTAACTACTCCTACACCATTCAACATTATAGCCACAACTCATTAAGTCAAACTTGGATAACTCAAAACCCTGTTTATCTCAAAGTGATTCCTCACTCCTGTGAAGAATATCCAGTCAGAATATTGGGCACCAGAACAGCATTATGACTCAACTTAAAACATCTTAAGCATTAACTCCATTTAACTCAAAAGTTTCATTTCGTTAGAAGAAACCATCACCAAAGGAGTCACAAAAGAAACTAAAGGGATGGCAAACACTTTCCCGATAAAGTCATCACTTCCAACGTAATATTTTCACAAAGGCATAACCACATTACAATTGAGACTGGGCACATCACAAAGTGAAACCACAATTACATGTAATCCTGGCTTTGGTATTGGACATGATCTGTATGGGTGGCTTAACTGTATCCTACCCATAAGTAGTCCAATCACTGACTTATTGCAGTGGCCATATGACCACATTAGAAGCATTTGGCTTCTCAGTAAGCCTGACTATTACCACTGACCCAGTTGCTGCATGCACACTCTCTCCATTAAAAAGGACATGTCACATGTCCACACAATGGAATTATGTTAGCTTTTGTAGATAGTTTTATGTAATTTTTGGCTGTCTTATGTTGTTGAATGTTTTATGTATTCTTGTGCTTTATATCTGTATTATCTTAACGTTTAATGTACTAGGTATTATCTTTGGTGCTCTTATGTTTTCGTTATTCTTAATTATTTCAGTATTGTGCATGGAACTAACATAATTTTTTCCATACTGTTTTTCAAAAATGCATATATATGTATAGCTGAATAAATAATGAATGAATCATATACCATATTTACATTAAGTTGATAGAAGAGACACCATAGAGCAAGAAAAAAATACAAACAACAGAGCAGAATGACTGAAAAACTACACCACTTACATGAATAAAAAGAGGCAAAGACAGCAATGAGTGAAACCCTGCAGTGACATTCTACATGAACATGCATGACTTGCCTGTTGAAATCCTCAAATCAGGAAAAATTCTGAAAATTTCTCCCAGTCCGAGAATGCTAC